GAGCTCCAAGAGCGCCCCAAGAAACCCCATCCTCCTCATCCTCCTCCTCCTCCTCGTCCTCTCGTTCTCGTCCATATCCTTCGTCCTCGTCCTCATCATTTTCCTCCTCCTCCTCCTCGTCCTCCTCTTCCTTCCTCTCCCTCTCCCTCCTCCTCCTCCTCCTCCTCATCCTCCTCCTCGTTTCTCATCCTTCCCCCTCGTCCCCCTCGTCTCCCTTCTCCTCCTCCTCCTCCTCCTCACCTCCTCCTCCTCCTCTCCTCGCCTCCTCCTCATCCTCCTCCTCCTCCTACTTTCCTCCTCCTCCTCCTTCCTCTCCTACTCCTCCTTCCTCCTCCTCCTCACTCTCTCTTAGTCCTCGTCCTCCTCATCCTCGTTTTCCTTCTCCTCGTCTTGTTCCTCTTGCCTCTTCCCTCCTCCTCCTCTCTCCTCCTCCTTCTCCTCCTCCTCTTCGCCCCCCCCAACGCGAACCCGGAGATGGCCCCAACGCGCCGTCAAGGCAGGCCTCCCTCACTGTTTGACTATGCTTGTCTCTTCCTCTCTCCCCCCGTCAGCTCTCATGGGCATCGTCTCTGGATGGCCTGGTGGGGATACTTTCACGTCGCGGCCGCAAGCGAAAGCGCAGGCGGCGTCCGAACTCAGCTTGGGCTACGAGCCAAACCAAATTACCTAAACGCTCGAACTAACGGCCGCCGGAGCTGCCGCCGAGGGACGCTGGAGACTGAAGGCGGAGCTGCAAGAGGTGCCGGTTGTGCCAGGCGGCGGACATGCGACCAACCCAGGGGCGAGAGCACCAGGAGTGCAAACGAATTGTACCTTGTCGCGCCAGGCGCCAGAGGCAAACGTGCCACCGAGCAGAGCACGGCATAGCGCGGGACTGAGCAAATAGTCCAGCGTACCGCTGGTGGGGATTTTTTGGTGGGGTCGCGGCCGCAAGCGAAGGCGCAGGCGGCGTCAGAAGTCGTCCCGGGCTGCGGGCGAAACCTAATCAACCAGCGAGCGCACTCACGGCTGCCAGAGCTGCCGCCGAGGGAGCTGGTGGGGATACGTTTTTTTTGACTGGCGGCTCCAGGACAGATCCAGGAAGCGGGACGGTCTCGGCTGGGGCACAAGGCGATATAATTAGCAACGACGGCACATAGGCCGACGCAGCATGTGCAGGTGCCAGGGACAAAATGCCCCCCATTAAGATGCAGGCGACCCGGAAGCGGGGACGCGGGCATCAGAAGGAAACTGACGGAGGAGGAGTCGCACAGTGGCGCCAGCTCAGCCCGTGCCGACCAGCGCGTAACGGCGTGGGCCACGCCGCGCTGTGGCAGCACAGAGGGCCAATGAGGCCGCACCGTCCAACACGACGAGGAGGCGAAGGAGCGGGGAAAGGCGGCGGGCGCGAGGGCACGCGAGGACAGAAGAGGGGGGAACCGAAGAACGCCTCACTCACAAAGACTCCTGGAAGTGCTGGGGCAAGAGCGACCGACCTATGCAGGAAAAGTCGTCCCTGTCTGCCGTCCCAGTCTTCCGTGTCCACAACCTGCAACAGCCTGGCTCTGAAGCCGGGGGGATACAGCTGCAAGCATTGGTCGAGCACCACGGACCACCCTGCGGGAGGGCCGAGAAGCACTGCCAAAGGATACACCACTTGTGCAGAAGCAAGAGCTCGAAGGAGGCGTCCGCCGTGGGAAAGCGAGACAACCAAGTCGTCGGCATACAACGCGGGCAGCTTATCCGTCACAGGGGGACGGGGGCACAAAGATGCGAGCGTCAACCGAGGTAGCAGGGGCGGACCTGATGGGGGAACAACGGCGACCTGCCAAAGGATGAACCACTTGACGGGGCAGCGCTCACCTCAGGTCCGGCCCCAGGTGGTGCCGGAGGGGGGTGGCGCGCCAGGCTGCACCATGCCGTAGCCCGGCCCCTGGAGCGCCGCGAACCGTTCCCACTCCAATGGGGCGTACCGCGCCCGCCCCAAGGGCTGGAGGAGACGTACCGGCGGGGACATACTGCTGCAGACCCTGGCTGTCCAAAACAACATATGGCAGCAAAACAGCCCGAACGCACTTTGGAGTCCACCCATAGATGCCTGAGCGCTCCAGTGGAGCCTCGGTAAGGGGGGAATCCGTGCGGCACTGCGCGCCGCATCAGCACGAGAGGAGGAGGAGGAGGGGAGACGCAGCCGATAGCCGCACAGTCCAGTAAATAGACGGAGGAGGAAGGCGGGGCGACGCCAATGTAGACGCTGTGAGTACTGTGACCACTGTGATCCCTCCACCGTTCCTTGCTGAGGGTCCTCTGCGACCGCGGGGGGAACAGCTGGTGGGGATACGTTCTTGATCTGCGGCTCCGAAGACGGCTCCAGGGAGCGGGTCAATCTCGACAGGGGCGCAATGCGAGACGATTGGCAACGAAGGCACATAGGCCAACGCCGCAATGCACGTGCGAGGGACAAAATGAACCTCATTAGAGCCGACCCGGGGAGGGAAGGCAGCAAACTGGAAAGCCGGCGGAGGGTCGCACTGTGGCGCCAGCCCCCACAGAACAAGCCTGCGAGAAAGCGGGGGCGCTGTGCGGGCAGCACAGAGCCCGAGGAAAGGCACCGCCAAACGCGGCGAGGACAGGCGCGGGCGGCGACGAGGGGAGGGGGGGGAGGAAACCAGGCCTCACTCACAGAACACCTCACGTGCTCGAAGCCAGAGTCCCAGCTTGCACCTTCCTTGCCACGGTGGAGGGGGGAACGAAGCGAGGTACCACGTCAGAACCACGTGCGCGAAGCCAGGTGCGTCCTCATATCTGGTGGGGATACTTTCTGATTCGCGGCCCGCAAGGAAAAGTCCAGAGGGCGGTGTGAATCTGGTGGGGATATTTTTTTTTTCAGCCGCAGGCGGAAGCGCCAGCGGCGGGCGGTCGCGGTCGGGCTGCGGCCGCGACTAACGGCGGGCCTGGTGGGGATACGCGAAGCGTCAAGAATGTCGACTTCCCACCCCAGCCAGAGAAAACCTCACTCATTACGGTCTGAAAGGTGGGCAGGCACTATGCCTGGCCGCAATTTCGAGAATCGGGAACCAGGCACCCGGGAACCCAACCGCCCACTGAAACCGGCCCAGAACCCAGAACTGGGAACTTGGGAATCGGGAGCCATGAACCCAACCACCCACCGAAATCGGCTAAGGACTTCCTCCAAATTCAGAAATATACGCGACGTCCCCTTTAGTACAAACGCTGATTAGGGAACATGAATATTTTCACTAAGGGTGGATCGGTGCCTGAATTAACTAAATGTCACCAGATACCAGGAGAAACAACAACTATACAAACACATACTTTCGGAGGTCCGCGCGGATTTCTTGGATCGGCGCTGAGTCATCCTCCCTGGCGCGCCTTCAGCGCCGTCAGGGGGGCCCAAAGCAGATCCAAGAAATCCGCGTGGAGTTCCCAAAGTTTATGTATATGCGGCTTCGTGCTTCGAACTAAGTATCGCATAGTGTCGACTCCCACCCCAGCCGTCGACGTCGTTATTTGCCAATGATGAGCCCCATGATGTAAACAACAGGCAAGCGAAGAGAAAACGAGAACGACCCACGAGGGTGCCAGAACAACGTTTTGACCGACCTCTGTCACATGACCCTTCTCATTTCTCGTAAGCCCCGCTGCCTTCTGAGAAGGCCTGCTCCCTCTCACTTCCCCCTGGGTGCGCCGCCGAATTTTGCTTTTGGGACAGAACTCGGGTCTCTGGCGGCCGTTCGGGACGATCCGGGAGCCAGCAGAACGCTCTCGGCGAGGTGCAGCTGCTGGCAAGCATCCAAGGGCTGGAAGGCCGTCGAGCGCTGGCGACGAGACGCCCGAAAAACTTTCTCGCCAACGCATCGCCGATGCATCGGCGACGTCGGCGGTGCATCGGTGACGTCGGCACGGAGAAACTCGGCCCCACATCGAGCCTCATCGCCGATGCATCGGCGATGCGGCGCGATCCTCCGACCCCATCTGCTACGACCCCATCTACGAGGACTTGACCTAAATATCACTAAGTGTCTCCCACCACAACCATCGAATTGATTCACATGAACCTTCTCGCTTCCTCCCGGGCAAGCCGACAAAACGTTTTAACTCCGCGGGCGCCAGGGTGTGCGAGACGGTCAGGTGGGTTGCACCAGAAGCGAATACAGGCGCGAAGTGGAAGAACAAGAGGCGAGAAGAGAAAGAAGAGGACGGAACCCACTGAAACACGAGCCAAACAGAAATGCGAGTAAGACCAATAATAACAAGCATGATAGTAGTAATGATGTTATTAAGAAGAAGCATGCGAATAAAACTAGCAATGCTAAGAAGGCGAATAACATTTTTTAAATAAATATAAAAAACGAATGAGACAAATAATTATATATACGCAATTTTGAGGAGAAAAAAAAAGAGAAGGGCACACCGCCGAAACACGAGACCTCATCGGCTGGTGCGAGAGAGAACCGTCCCCGGGCAAGGCGCGCGAGGACCGAGCGGGTGGCCCCTGACATCTGTGAAGCCCCCAAACGGCGGAGTGGCCACACAGTGTAGTGAATCTAGAAGAGCAACAACGACATAAGCATAATCTGTTTGAGGTCCACGCAGATTTCGTGGATCTGCGCTGAACGCCCAGATCGGCGGCCCAGCGCTGATCCAAAAAGTCCGCGCGGGCCGTCGAAAGCTTGTCTATGCCGTCTTTCCTTCCTTGAAAAAATCCGTGGGGATTGAAGGTAACCGCCCGGTTCTGGGACTCGGGCGCTTCACTCGCCCCACTCCACTGGCTGGAATTGCCGTCGCCCGAAAAACACGCTACGGCAGACCTGGCTTAGTGATCTCCGAATGTTGTTTGGGTTTCGGGGCCTTCTCACCCACCTGCTCCCATCACATGGGGCCCTGGCCATACCCGTGGGGATTCGGGGATGATCGCACGGCTTCGGGACTCGGGTCGTGACTCCCGCTTAGGAGCGCCGCCGAAACGCGAGCCTGCGGAGAATCGGGGCGCCGCGGGCCTTCGGCGCATCCAGCGGCCTCGCCAGCCACGCACTTCGGCGCGGCCCCCTCGGAGAGGGGCGGGGGAGCTGCGGGGGAACCCTGCTCCCCCTCCTCGTCCCCCCTCCTCCTCCTCCTCCTCCTCCTCCTCCTCCTCCTCCTCCCTCCTCCTCCTCCTCCTCCTCCTCCTCCTCTTCCTCCCCCTCCTCCCCTCCCTCCTCCTCCTCCTCCTCCTCCTCCTCCTCCTCCTCCTCCTCCTCCTCCTCCCTCCTCGTCCTCGTCCTCGTCCACTCCCAAGCGGCGCGCGCGAGTTTCTCCCGCGGCCGGCGCGCTTTGATCAGGAACCGGCAGACTCCTCCGCCGCCCCATTTAAAATGGGGCGGCACACCGGGGGGTGGCGGGCTGCCCGAGGCAGCGGTCACTCCTGGCGGGGGAGTGGTCTGCCAGCTAGCCAGCTGGGGCCTCGCATGCCCGGGAGCCCCACGGGGACCGGCAGGACAACGCAGTCGCCCGCGTGCTCCCTCAAGCGCCCTGCAGGAGCCTTCGGTGGCCCGCGAGCAAGGCCCCGCACTCCGGGCGGCCACGCCCTCGCCGCCGCCCCCGCCGCGGCGCCCCGCGGCCGCGGCAGCGTCGTACGGGTCGGCGCCCCCGCCCGCGCCCGGCCTGGGCGCCCCCTACCTCGGTCAGGTCAGCGCCACTGGTCGAGCGCCCAGGGCCGGCCCTGCCAGCTCAGCCGCCCCGCGCCCTGCGCCGCCAGAGCCGCGTCCGTCCAGCGCCCAGCGCGGCGCCCCGCAGCGTCGCGCCCAGCGTGTCCCCAGCGCCGGCGGCAGCGCTGTCCGCAGCCCAGCGCCACTTCAGCCGCCTCCCTGCTCAGCGCGCCGCCGCCGGCCCTGCGCCGCGCCGGCCCCGCCCAGTGCCGCCCCAGCGCGGGGCCGAGGCCCCGCGCCGCTCAGCGCAGCCTGCGCGCCGTCTGGCCAGCAGCTGGGCGCTCAGCGCGCTTTGGGGGCCTCAGCTATGGGCCGCGCCTGGCTGCGCCCCAGCTCCTCCTGGCGGCTGCGCCGCGGCCCCAGGCGGCGCTGGCGCCAGCGCGGCGGCGTCCCGCCACGGCCAGGCTTGCGTCGCCGCGAGAACCCCGTCCGCGGCGTGCCGTTGCAGCACGCTGCCCAGGCTCTGTTGCAGCTGCCGGATGGCCGCGGAACCGCCGCGCTTCCCGTGGGCGCCAGCTGCCAGCCGCCGCGCCCTCGCCGAATCGCCCGCGGTCTTCCACGCCAAACGGGATCTTCGGCGCGCCAGGCCGGCGCTCGGCCGTAGCGGCGGCGGCCCCGACCCGCCTCGCCGCCCCGTTCGCCAGGGCATCCTGCTGGGTGGCGCCCACGACCGCGAGGCCGATCAGGAGTGGCGCCGCGACGCCTGCCGCGTGGACCGCCAGATCCATGCGCGCCTCAAGGCTCTGCGGCGACGCGCGGGGCAGCAAGGCTCCCCGGTGCACTGCGCAACCCGCGACGCCACCCGCCGACCGGGCAGCCCCGGGGCGCGACGGCCTTTCGGGCCCAGCTGCACGCCGCAAAAGCTGCCGTCTGGGCGCCAATGCTGGCAAAACCCAACGCAGAACGGTAGGTCGAGGTTTCCCCGAGACGGCCCAAGAGGGCCCCACAGCGGCCTAAGAAGCGCTCAGGACGGCTCAAGAGAGCCCAAAGACTGCCCCAAGAGGGGGAACACGGGCCGAAAGTTCGAGCATTCCGCCCCAAGAAACCCCGAGGAGGCCAAGAGACCCCACGAGCTTCCCAAAACAGCCAAAAAGAAACCCCAAAGGGCCCCAGACGGCCTCCAGGAGGCCTCCAAACTGCCTCCAAGAGACCCCCGAGAGGCCCCCCACGATATCCGAACGAACATCCCACAACCCAGGCACGGTGGCGGGATGGGCCGAAGACCAGTATCCGCCGCCCCCTGCTTGCAGGGGTGCACGGCGTGCTGGATGAGCTGTCAGGTTTTGGTTTTGGTTCTTTTTCTAAAAGAACTCCCCAGTGGGCTTCGGCCCGTCCCGCCAGCCACCCGGAAAGGATGCCCAGGAGCTCAATTCCCCAATTTCCTGCCCCAACTTAGCCCAAGATGGCCTCCAAGACGGCCAAGATGGCCCAAGATGGCCTCCAAGATGCCTCCCAGACGGCCAAGATGGCCTCCAAGACGGGTAAGATGGCTCCAAGATGCCTCCAAGACGGCCCAAGATGCCCTCCAAGACGGCCAAGATGGCCCCAAGATGCCTCCAAGATGGCCCAAGAGGCCTCCAAGACGTTCTCCAGGAGAGCCCGAAGAGGCCAAAATCATTGGTTTTCCTTAGGTTTTTGAAGGTTTTTTGCGTTTTCTTCTTTTCGGCCTTCCTACGTCCCAAGAGGCCCCCAAAATCACCCCAAGAGGCCTCCAAGAAGGCCCTATGACGGCCCAAGGGCCCCCCAAGACGGCCCCAAGAGCGCCCCAAGACGGCCCAAGAGGCCTCCAAGACGCCCAACATGGCCTCCAAGACGGCCCTGAAGCGCCCCAAGAGGGCCCCAAGACGGCCCAGAGAGGCCCCCAAGACGGCTCCAGACGGCGTCAGACGGACCAGGAACGCCCTAAGACGGCCAAAGAGACCCCCAGGAAGCCCCCAAAGGCCCCCAAGAGGCCCAAGGAGGCCCCCAAGATGCCTCCAAGAGGCCTCGAAGAGGCCCCCAAGAAGCCCCCAACAGACCCCAAGGGTGCCCCAAGAGACTCCTAACAACCCTCATCCTCCTACTCTATTTCTTCCTCTTCCTCTTCCTGTTCATAATCATTCTCTCCCATGTGTTCCCCGAAAGCTTTCCAAACCGACTCGGGGAACTCATGGTCCGATAGCTTGGCCAAGCTCTAGTCCAACTTTCGGCCACATCGGCGTTTCCAAAAAGGCAGGGGGCGGCGGTGATTCGCCGTAGGCGTCTTCGATCCGCCGCCCCCTGCTTGCACAGGGGTGCACGGCGTGCTGGACGTTTCAGGTTTTGGTTTTGGTTCTTTTTCTAAAAGAACTCCCCAGTGGGCTTCGGCCCGTCCCGCCGGCCACGCGTAAATTGCCGAAAATCCGTCTGTCAATGCCCAAAAACGGCCGTTTCGCTCGGGACATCCTCAATTATCCCGGCAAAGCAACCTAACAGCGATGTGTAGAAGCATATCTGAAAGCATTCCCCTTAAGATTCAGATGAAAATCCAGTTGTCGAATTCTGCTGTTCTCGCAGTCGTAGTCGCATTCGCGATGACAGTCGCAGCGGCAACGGCAGTCGCCGCAGTCACAGCCTCAGCCTCAGCCTGCCTCAGCCTCAGCCTCCGCCTGCCTCAGCCTCAGCCTGCCTCAGCCTCAGCCTCAGCCTGCTTCATCCTCAGCATCAGTCTGCCTTCAGCTTCGGCCTCAGCCTCAGACTGCCTCAACCTCAGCCTGCATCAGCCTCAGCCTCAGCCTCAGCCTGCCTCAGCATCAGCCTGCCTCAGCTTCAGCCTCAGCCTCAGCCTGCCTCTGCCTCAGCCTCAGCCTGCTTCAGCCTCAGCCTCAGTCTGCCGTCAGCCTCGGCCTCAGCCTCAGCCTGCCTCAGCCTCAGCCTGCATCAGCCTCAGCCTCAGCACGAAGCAACCCAGCTAGAAGGACAAAGCGCTGAATGTACACCGATGTGTTCGACGACTGCGTATGTAATGATGTGACGATATACAGACTGAGCCCTTCGTGAATGTCTACATGTTTTTCTGACGCCTACAAACGGCGCTGACGTGTGTGTGAAAAGTGTCCGCGCAGCAAAAGCCGGCGAAGCGTGCAGACAGCCAGCTGCAAAAGGTTGCGAGCGGCTCTTGGAAGACGTTTACGGAACGGAGCTACGGTGTCTGAAAACAATTGGCATCGAAGCGAAGAGCCTCGGAGCCCTGCAGCCTGAGAAACACCGCAGGAACTCGCATACTGAAAAGGAATGCATTGCAAACCGCACGTTGCGAACCCTGCAGGCTGAGAAGCACCGCAGGATGTCGCATGCTGAAAAGCACTTGTACTGCAGAGCGCAGGCTGCGAAACCTGCAGGCTGAGAAGCACCGCAGGAACTCGCATGCTTTCGAACACTACTGCTCGAGACCGCAGCTGGAGAGCGGCAGACCGCAGGCTGAGAAGCACCGCGGGCAGAGAGACTTGCAAAACTCAGATGTCCTGATCGTCTTGGAGGAAGTCACGCCAGTCCGGCGGCTGCCAAGAATCGATGATGCGCCTGGAGCCACCGCCCGTGCTGCCGCCGATGTCCAGGTAGTCGCCATCGCCCCTGAACAGACGGCCGTGCCCGCACGCCAGAATCGCTTGGTTGCGGATTTGAAGCAGCGCTCCGCTCTCAAACATCTGCAACACGTCCTGCTGCCTGCGCGTGAAGTTCGGCTTTGCCTGGCCAGCCTGGGCAGACAGATATAGGGAAAGCCGCTCCCCCTCGTTGTAGCGCGCGATGGCCTCGGCCTTCTGGTGGTGCAGCCGGCGCCGCTGTTGCCGCAGAGCTTCCTCGGGAACTGCTGCATCACGGCCCTCACTGTGATCAGCTTGCAACGCTTGCGTTAACCAATCAACGTCGAAGCGCCCTGAGAAGGCCAGCACCTCCCAGATCTGTTTGGTACCGGCCACACGTTGCAAATGGCGATGCCACCGCTTACGCTTCTGGTCTTTCACAAACTTGGCGACGCTACCCAGACCTGCACCCTTGGCCTGGCCACCTTTTCCCGCAGGCTGAGAAGCACCGTGAGAACCTTTCTTACCGCCTGGCCCTTTGTTCGGACCCTGCGGAACCGCATGGCCCCCTTGTGGCGCAGACTTGCCTTTCGCTTTTCCCTTTTCGATATCCCGTTCCTGAAGCGCACGCTGCTGCCGCGACTGCTCGTACTGGTCGCGAGCTACTCTGACCAATTCCTGGCGCTCAGGCTCCGTGAGAACGTAGCGCATGTCGTCGATGTTCTTGCTCCGCAGAAAGTCATGTCGAAGCTTAAGGACAGAGAGAATGGCTCGGCCAGTCTCCTCCTGAGACGCAAAGGCCGTGTCATATTCCGAGCCA